TACTTTTTTCTTTTGGTCCGGACCAAATGAACCAAGCGAACCGAGCTAGAAGTGTAAACACACCCTTAGTGTACATAGGTTGAACCCTGAGATGCATTTTGGGATAGAACGAGTGCACAAATGGCTTTCCCCTCAAATATGGTGGCAATTTTGGACACAGCCTTGGAGTCTGTAGCTGATGAGTTGAGTCAGGTGTGTTTGATTGGAAAAGTTTGGAAATGAGTAGCCTCCTGTGGGGTTGCGGAAACACTGCCATGGCGTTCTCACACCTATAGATTGTTTTGTTCCAAAACGGACTCAATTTGTTACAATGTTGCATTTTCTTCTTGGATCGCTTTGCTTTCACAAGGCAACCTTTTAAAGCGTACCAAAATGTGTTTATCCAAGTCACATGCGAGGACAACTGTCCTCTTATTGGTCAGAGTTTCCTCTGCGTCATCCATCAAGATGATTGACAAGTTCGCTTCATGAGCTAATTGTGGCTTTAAGCTGTCGAGACACGCAAACACTATACGAATGTAGCTGTCATTCCTGCTGTTAAATGATGTACTACATTCTTCTAGGCTTCTGCCAGAATGGTGATCAGTGGAGTAATACAGAGAGCAGCTGTCACTCATTCTCGCCTTGATGTGATTTGGCGTGAAACCCCTCAGACATTCACAGCTGTTCCTGTGCCACAAGCCCCTTCCCTGCCTGAATAATTCCTGCTTAATCTGTTCACTAAGGAGAGATGCAAACTCATGGAGGGAATGGAGCCAAGACAAGGATCCATACGAGTGGCTTCATGCTGCCTTTACAGGCTAGGATTTGTCGTAAATACAAGTTTCCTTGTCAGAAATTGGACATGAACAACGTCTCAAGTCGTATTTACTTCTGGGAAAATGGAAGATCATTTTGATATTCGAATATCCGAGTTGGGCGGGCCGTTAACTTCAAATTTGGCAGAGGAGAAACCTACTTGACTGTTAAGTTTTATTAATTTTCCCAAAACATCTGCTTAATTGTCACTTATATATATATATATATTATAGCATTTATTTTACTGAAATTCCAGAATCGTAAGTGCGGTGAATGTATACAATAGAGAGGGAAATGTTTAAATGGTTGTCAACAAATGGGACACCACATTTATTCAAAATCCTGATATTGATTCAATATCTTTAATTCTTTTTGACTTTGAGATTTCCCCAAGAAATAGGCAAGAATTAACCCAATGTCCTCCATGATTCCCATTCTTTCTGACATTACAGCACTCGTACTTGACAAACTCATAATCTTGACTTTGAGGATTTCAGAAGAGATGAAAAGCATGTGAAGGCAGCATTACTCCCAGGAACTTCTTCCGAAACGTTTGACTCTCCAGATTCACACCCTTGTTTGTGTTGTTTTTATGTGTGATCTGAGCACCACAAACATTATCCTACTGTGATGTTGGGCTGTTGTCTTAATCTCTATTTCTTGTATCAGCTGTGAGAGGAATGTGTGAGTTTTGGGTGAGGTTCTAACTGGATCTAACTGGAGTTATGTGCACACTTAGCACATATGGTGCTTGAATTACCAAAAAGTCAGGACCAATAATTAGAGAAGGGTAATGTGAAGAACATCAAATAAAACAAGAAACATGACAAATTCAGAAAGCCGCCACATAATGACAATTACGTCAAAATAAAACCGAACAAAAATGGATGGTGGTACTTCTTCAAATTTTATCCATCGCTTGTCGATTGCATTGTGAAAATTGTGCGTCGGAGATCTTAATGCGGTTGACCAGTTTCATGCATTCGAAAAAGAAATATGCTCATTTCAAAACAAAAATTTGAGAAAACCACAAAGTCAGTTTGGGAATTTGAATGGCATTTGATACATGATTAAATCTGAAATCTGACGTTATGGCTTTGTTACATCACCTGAAGTACAGTACGGTGTACTTATTGACCTCGGTGTGTGATCAAAGTCTGCAGATGACTGAGGTTTGCAGCAGGCGGTGAAGTGTAATCTCTTCCCACATTATTACTCTCCTCTGATCTCGGCTTCTGCTGTAACAGCCGTAGATCTACAGAATCGTACAATTCGTTTAAATTTAGATTTCTTACAAAGGTCTATATTCGAAATAACCTTTTATTCAGAAAAAGATAAATGCTCCATAGATATCAGAATATTTATATGATTGCTACGTAATCTGAATATGACCAAATACTTCTTATTATTGGGATACTTTGTGCGTGTAAATGTGTTCATCGACATCCATACGTGTTCAAAAATATGTATTTGTTTAAAAAACACTTTTAGTTCATTGTATTGAAATCAAAGATCTTTTATGGGGTGTATATGAATCTTTCGGCAGGGATTCAGGTGCTGGGTCATTATGAAAAGGAGGCTTTAGCTGAACCCCTCGGTATGACAGCAGAGTCATGTGACGGCTTTGAGTGCTGCTGTGTGGGATTAATGATCAAGGCTGCATGTGGCTTTCATGCAATGGAAATACCTTTCCCTCTCCTGTTTCTTTTAATTGAGCTATAGCTAGTTTCCATCAGGACTCAAGGTTTTGCAATAACAGGCTGAATGGTCTCTCTTTCAGTCACATTTCCTCAAAACAGCGCTTCGTTAAAGTCTGTTTAACCATAGACCTTAGACTTTATCAACTGTTTTATCTATTATCTATCTATTTAGCTTTCCATTTCACAAGCTTTTCAAGGATATTAGATTGTTCAAAATACAGTGAATGTTAGTGGCCCACAGAAGCGTGATTATAGAAACGAAACCATTTTTGTGGTGAAAGTGGAAGCTGGAAAGTAATGCCAACAGTTCTGAGACAAAACGTTACCACAGACGTCTTTATAGAAACTGTTTTTGTAATATAATATTTTTTGGTAAATAGCCACTATGGCCTAACAATTAAGAGTGTTTTGCCAATCTTACACCATCCAACCGTCCAATGTGTGCAGGCCATTTAGTAAATAGATTCTAAAGGTTAAAGGGATGGCAAGGTTTTCGGAAAAGAGGTAGAGTTGTCAGCAGTTACAGAAAACAATGACAGAATCAAGCCAGGGCTGTTAATATTGATAAACATTTACCAACTGGAGTGTCAGAGTAAATGAGTCATAGTGCATCTGACAGCAATTGAGTTGAATTGTCAAGAGGATGATGTTAGAACTTTAAATTCACGCTGTATTGGCAAATTTTATATGCAATTGTATTTCATTTTTACTTTAAATTGCAATAAACTAATTTAGCTTGATATACTTAAAGGTAGCCTGGTTAAAACCAGACCATTCTCAGTTATGGTCTGGCAAAGCGTCATAGACAAATCATTTCCAGAGGGGCGTCACCAACGGACGTCGCGGATAGACCTAAACCCAATCAGAGCGATGAAGGAGATGACGTATGCAGAGCTGCGGAGAATCTCCGAGTGTTGTTCTTTGCTCGGTTTTTAACTAAAAGGAAACGTTCAAATCGCTTAAAACAGACGCGATAGCTGATTCGAACGAGTGATGTTCGACGGCGGCATCCATCTTTGTAATGTAGGCTTCAAAATCATGTTCAAAATCCCAGCGCTGTCGTCATCGTTTAAAGCCCGCCCCAACGTTACTGATTCGTGCCGCGATTTCGACGGATTAGAAATGGGTTTTGAATGAGCTCTTTGCCAGACTAACTTTCAGAGCAAATCTAAATTTGCCGGAAGTTGTCTGAGTTTTCCCAGGGTAACTTAAAGGGGTAGTTCCCCCCAAAATATTGTTTTTGTCATTAATTACTCACCCTCATGTCGTTCCAAATCCGTAAGACCTTCGTACATCTTCGGAACACAAATGAAGATATTTTTGATGAAATCCGAGAGCTTTCTGAGTCTGACTCCCATATAGACAGCAACGTCGTAACCACTTTCAAGGCCCAGAAAGGAAGTAAAGACATCGTTAAAATAGTCCATGTGACTACAGTGGTTTATGAAGCGTTGAGAATACTTTTTGTGTGCAAAAAAAAAAAGCAGGCGTAATGATATGACGCAGCGCCTGAAAATAGTCCCCAGCTCAGTAACTTCCAGCGTGACCGGGACTAAGTGCCTGCGCCTGCTGCTCTCATGGTACGGCAGTAAAGTTTCTCGATTACTACGCAGGAATGAGAGTACAGTTCCTAGCCATATCAGCCTAGAAAATCGCAACTTTACATACATAGTGCACGATGTAACTACAGAAGAGTCAAGTTTTAAATAGGCAAAATATCGAAACACTTTGGTCATTTTTTTTTTGAGAAATGCTAATGGTCTTGTCCACTTCAATGATGTATGCTAAGCTATGCTAAAAGTGGTACCGCCAGAACCGGAGATCGGCTGAATGGATTCAAAAACGGTAAAACTCAACAGTTTAACTCTGGGGGAGTTGTAAAATGAGCCTATTTCCAAAAAAAGTGGAGTATCCCTTTAAGGTTGAACCACTGTAGTCACATGGACTACTTTAACGTTGTCTTTACTTCCTTTCTGGGCCTTGAAAGTGGTTATGACGTTGATGTCTATGAGGGACAGAAATTCCTTAAATTGTGTTCCGAAGATGAACGAATTTTGAATCGCCTAATAAGCCTAATCAAATTTAAATAATCCTAATCAAATAATAAAGTGGACCCCATGTTAACTTCTAAATTCTAACATTCCAATATGGTATATCTCTAGGCTATGAAAATGTAGAGTTGTGCTGACAAACAAAACATATCATGGTTACATTAACTGAGCTCTAAGCTGATAACCATACATTCTGTTTACCAAATGTGGTCAGCAATTCCGGTCACTCTGTATCTCTTGGTGGATTGAAGGCTGAAATTGAAATCAAGTCTGATGCCCCCCAGGGATCAATCCTGGGCCCACTGCTCTTTAACATTTACACGTTTCATCATGGACAGCTTTTAAAGTTCACTCGGCCTAAATTATAATGTTCTAATCACTGTAAGATGTTTTAGTATCTTGTTCTATTCATTATTTATTAAAATCAAATAAACACAACAGACATTTGAACTGAACCGTACCAAACAACCATGTTTAATTCACAATGACACATTTGACAGTAATATATCAAAAAAACATTTCAGCTGGCATGGTACTTTTAAAATCCTCAGTGATACAAACACTTCATCTGCACTTTTATACTGAGCTCATCTTTCCTCTACAGACTTCATAGAAAGTCACTAAACTAATAATAAAGACATAGTACATTTCTCTTTTCACAAATTGCATATTTTACCAAATGCTAAAAATTGCAAATTTAAATAGTGCTGTGAAGTGTTGATATTCTGTTTTTCCCTCCCAATGAAGGCCACTGAGTAGATTGTGCGGCGTCCCAAATGATATGTTCAACCCAAACCTACGTGCCTATTCCCTCTGTATTTCAGACAGCAACCCCCTTGTCTTTTGGTTTACAATGTTGCTTGGTTTCTCTAAGGTTTCTATAACCACAATTTTATTTGGTCATGCACATTCGCCAAATGAGTGCTTTCCACAAATCGGAGGACTTCCCTTCAGTTTTACGACAGCATGGACAAAATATCAGTCCTCCTCTAGCAGTTCCACAACAAATACATTTTTTTTACAGCATTTCCACCTCGTGTTTAGATTGACAGAACACAACAAACAAGGCATCAGCTTGTGTATATATATATAAAAAAATAAAAAGATAAGAGAAGGTTGTCTAGTTCCTACACTGACTAGTTTCAGTGCTATTACACAGCAGTTTGAAATATAGGCATGGTGAAGTACAGTGGAAACATCTTCAGATCATCTAAATAGAGTGAATGAGTCAACAGCAATCTTTAAAAAACATCACATCTAAAAATACTCTCGGTTAAAGCATAGATCATTTGTTTGAAAGAGGCAAAACTTTTCTTCTTTTTTGTTTTGTTTACCTCTAATATCACCAAATCTAAATCTTACAAAAAGCTCTAAAAAAAAAAAAAAAAAAACTTAATTACCAATAACTTAAATACATAAATTATTACATCTCTCACAAAATTGAAAAGTTGACTAAGAAAACAATATAAAGTGTGAAATATAAAACAGAGAACAGATGGGTAAGAAAGAAAAAAATACTGGTCCAGACATTTCTACTTGGTCCAGCAGCCGAACGGTAAAAGTCCATGTTGTTGCATTACCTCCACAGGAAGGACACCAGTGTCTGACGCCCTGTACGAAGACAAGCTTTGGCACGGACACACCAATCAGACGATGCGGTAAACACACATGCAGAGGAGGCCAGCCTTGCTCTCCAGCCTATTTAAATAGTCAGTATGTTGGTGTGGCGTATCAGAGATATAGGGCTGTGTGGTGTGCGTGTTGTCGTGAATGAGTGCATTGGGTTCAGTACTTCTCACAGCATGGTATATATATCAGTCAGCTGATCCAAAACACATTGGTTGGTACCCTTAACAGAACCGAATGTTCTCCGTCTAACCTGCTGCTTGCTCACAACGATGACTCCACCTCCCTAGGGATGATCACGACGGATTCCGCTCCGCTGGTGTCCTCCACGGACTCGCTGATGATCTCCAGAGATGTGGCAGAAGCACTAGGTATCGTTGGGGTCTTGGATTCGCACAGTTTCTTCGACTCTAAGACTCCGTCGGGAGGTTTCGCGGGGTCAATGGCGCCACAGCAGAGCTTCGGGGCGCACTGTGTTCTGCAGGAGAGCTCGCAGAGCGAAGCGCGAGACTCGGAGTTCATCGTTACGAATTCCGGTTGAATGGTCGTGGCGTGGATGCCCTCGTTATGGAAGAAGTCCTTGATCCGCTTGGCCACGTCCATGTAGGACGTGGGGTCCTGGCATTTGATGTGCGCCGTGGCGATGATGCGACTGCCCGCCAGCTGCCAGATGTGCAGCTCGTGCACCGCCAACACGCCGTCCAGGTCCCGCAGGCGAGAGTTGAGCTGATGCATGTCGATTTGCTTGGGGACGGTCTGAAGCAGGATGAGCGCAGACTCCTTCAGCAATGGGTACGTGGTGTAGAGGAGGATACAGACCATAATGATGCAGAGCGTGGGGTCGAGGTAGAGCACCCAGCAGGGTCCCGCGCTGAACACCGTTTCGTTGGTTCCAGCACTGCTGATGTTGTGCGACTGGTCTGCACAATAATGGCCCACACAAGGGTTCTCGCAGACAGTGCCCTCCTTGCATGGCGTCCATACAAATATGAAGATGATGGCATTGATCACCACGATGACCGAGCCAAGAGCGTCTCCCAGGACGTGCAGGAAAACACCCCGCATGTTGAGCTGGGATGCAGAGTCGTGTCCGTTCTCGAGCTCTTCGTACGGAGCGCTGCCGTTAATCTGCAAATCCACGTTGTCGCTATGACACATCTCTACGGAGGAGAAAGAAAAAGAAAGCAAGTGTGAACAACATTCAAGGAAATCTGAACACAGGACAAAATAGTAGTTTGGTAGGTTTAGTTTGAAAATACAGCAGTTACGCTTTGTTCCATTGAACTGGATTTACAACTTTCTGCAATTCCAACTTTTGTGGAATAAATGTGAGGAAAATGTGGGCGTTGACACCAACGCCTCTAATTGTATTGGCCTAACAGCATGCTGAAATAAAGTATAAAAGCACTGGAACGCATCACTGTTTACACTAGTCTGTTCGTTTGTGTTCACAGCATTCCAGACAAAAGTATTGGAGCAGTGTGGGGTGGACGTGGAATGCAGTGTGTGGACTTACGGGAGCATTTTTTTTTTTTTAAGAGTCCATTTTCTCTCACTCAGTGTGTTTCTCCAACCAATAAGCATGGAACAAGCGGAGAAATGGAAAACTGAATGTGTAGCTGGAGCAGTGAATTGGACCCCATCGACATTAATTAAATGGGCAAAACCGTTATTTTGTGTTCCATGGAAGAAAATAAACTGTCCACACTTAAATGATATTGGCGAGTAACTGATGGCATACCTTCCAATTTTGGATGAACTATCCCTTCAAACAATATCACATTTGACTGAATATCAGCACAGATTAAAAAAACTGGTCTGGAGTATGTGAGTGGAGTGGAGCAACGGTGGTTTCCCTTCCCACTTAAAGTGTTCTGTAATCACTCTTTCATTATATGGACAAAAAGCAGTGTTCCACCGCAGAAAGTAAAGGCTCATTCAAGAATGAAAACTATAAAGATAACTATTAGCATCCACACCAATGCAATGTTTTGTCTATTTTTGCTTGACCTCGTTAAAATTGTTTTTTTTTATCGTTTTACTCGCAACAAAGTTATTTTTCGTTCTTCGTTTTGGGGTAAAAAGAAGTTCGAAATACCTTTGCAGCGGTAAACTGTGAGTGAACATCCCGACGCCACCCACGCTGCTGACAGCGGGGTTTAGATTAATATAAATATGTGCTGCCAGCTTTCCTCACAATAACAAAATAAACACATACAAAGAAAAAGATAACAGCCGCGAGAGAACAGCAGATCAGGAGGCATGTGATCATAGCGATTTGGATTTTTGCACGAGCTCAGCAATTCGGCCTTCCACTCAAGTTACGTCAACTTTATTAATATAGCACTTTACACAATATTGCTTTAAAACAAACAGCTTATGAAGATTACGAAATCCAGGGAAGATTTTGACAAAGAAAGCGGTTATAACGGTTATATAATCGCCACGGACCAATGGCAGTTCGAAGGCGTTTAAGTTCGAAGCGAACTTTTCCGGGAAGTTCGCGTTGGCAAGCTGTTTCGAACTCCTAAAACGAACTCAAAATGAGCTTCGTTGTGGCCTGATTTTGTTTGAAATTACATCACACCAGTTCGTTCTTCGATTTCGCTTGAAACACAGTAGTCAACATTTGAAGTGGATCAAAAAAGGTTTTGGTCCACTTCAAATGTTGACTACTGTATATCGGGGCCATTAGGCAGTGGTTCCCAACCCTGTGTAACGGAGGCCAGCTAGTAGTTGCTGTGTGAGTAAACCCAAAGTCCTTTTAGGCAAGTCATGCCACTCGGCCGCCATCTTGGCAACGCCTCCGGGCAGCTATTTCGGACTAACAAGACCTATCTAAATGAATGGGCAGAGAGTCAGAACTGCAGTTTCACTGGTCACCGGGACATAAAAACTGCATGTATAGTAGTGTTGTCAAAAAACTCGGTACTTCGGTACCAAGTCGGTACTAAAAAAAATTAACGGTTACGGTACCAGCTTTTCTAGGTACCGAGTACCGGGTTAATCCGGTTCTTGATGCGCGCTGTCTGAAAGGTGCAGAGTTGCGTCCTCTTCATAAAAACACTGAGACATGGCGACCGGCGGCGCTGCTAATGCGGTGGCTCTGAATCCACTTGTTGACAAGAAAGGAGGAAAGAGCCACATATGGAAATATGTTGAATTAGGCTAATGTCACGTTGCCATAAAGGGCCGTTCACACGTTCACATAGCACGTTTTTTGCGCGTGCAAATTTCAAATGTAGGCGCGCGGGAAGCGCGCTCATAATAGAAGCGACGTGCGAGCTTGTTTTTCCATGCGCGTCACTGTTTATGGTTGCATAGCGGAGACACGCGAGAGTGAGCGCTTGTGGAGAGAAGGAGAAAGCGGTGCAAACTGCGCTCCCCGTGATGACGAGGAAGTACCAGCAAAGAATTAATTGATTTCTAGCCCTTGCATTAGAAATCAGCTACAGGGTTATCAAGTTTTGAAGACAGGCAAGAGTGACATTTTTGGATTAAATAAAAGTAGGCTACAGTTAAGTCAAATAAAACATGTTCTATCTCCTATATAGTTTGGTAACACTACAATAAGATACCATTCATTAACATTACTTAATGTGTTAACATCAACACATTGAGTGAACAATATATTTCTGCAACATTAATTAATGTTTGTGAATGTTATTTAATACAAACACTTGATTGTTCATGTTTGTTCACTTCATTCATTGTGCATTAAATAATGTTAACAGATAAAACTTTTGATTTTAAAAATGTATTAGTATATTTTTAAATTAACCCCAAGGAGAATAATTGCTACAGTATATAACTATGGTTTATTGTTAGGTAATTTTATCTAATGTTATCTAACAAATATAATCTTATTGTAAAGGGTTTTTAATACTACAGTTTCCATCTTTGTAACTGTGATATACACTTTAATATATGTAAATTTTATCTAAATTAAGCTTTTGGTACCGAAATTGGTACCGAGAACCGTGGATTTTCACTGGTATTGGTACCGAATACTGAAATTTTGGTACCGTGACAACACTAATGTATAGAAACAGCAGTAAAATATGATAAAAATCGCTGAAAAAATTTGATGATTTTGCCCCAAAATAAGGTTTAAAAGGCCTTTTTCCCCACAGGTTATACTTTTACTACGCATGCGCAAGGGTTCTCTCCCTCTCTGTCGTGTCATGCGCTACACAGTTTGAAGTACAGTATGTGCTCGCTCTTGCTCGCTCGCTCTAGATCCCGGGAGATTTTAACTAATTTGCGGCCATCAGGGAGCCGCTATCAATCTGCGGGAGACTTGGGATGTCTGATATTTACACAACTCACATACACTGCATATCAAATCTGCCGCCTTTTCAAACAGTAACGTAGTTTGCGCTGTCGCAAACCTCAACTGTGCGCATGCGTCAGTGGAACCAGACGATAGGCTTAAATGTTTCCCGGCTTGACTGTTAGAAGCAGACAATTGGCTTTCCAGCGGGACATGTGCATACAACCGCCATCTTTGGCGTTATGGGTTTTCCCTATATAGTTGTATTAAGGATTGAGAAAGTGGCATGTCTCTATGTAAATAGTCTCTGGTAAACCTCACTCCTCTGATCTCAATAGGCGCTCTAGCGACAGATGGTAGAGGCTGCAGTCTTTAGCCTCCTTGTTAGAGCGCCTGACTCTCATGCCGGAGACCCGGGTTCGAGGCCCGCTCGAAGCGGGTCGAGTGGGACCCGGGTGGAGGGGTTACACCTGGACCTGTAGTACCCCATTCACTGCACATTTTTAAAGCATCTTATCAAACACATTTGAGGTCTTGGAGTCTTTACTAACAAGCCGATGAGTTGAATCAGGTGTGTTTGACTAGGGAGACGTCCAAAATGTGCAGCGCTGAGGCCCTGTGGGCACTCCAGGAGGCTTTAGTTCAGGACCTTCTGTTCATTAATAGAACATATTTGCAGTGAGCTGATGATTCACCGAGTCCTGTGGGGCGATGTAACCCATCTGTTCATCTCTCATCTGGGCTGTCTTAAACAAGCAAGCAGACATGACCTTGGTTGAAAATCCTCCAAATAAGCAAAGTGACTGTTTCAACTTTTTTTTCTTGAGGGAATCTGGTTACAGTTCTGCTTATCTGATAAAAACAGATAAAAGCACAGAAAGCACATGATCTTTGGTGGGAGTGAGCTGACATACGATCCCATTGTTGTGAATCCATGGAAACAAGACATTTAACCTAATTATACAAAAGCTCAAGATTGATTGTTGCCCACAAAAAGAGATTAATCATATAAATAAACAGAGAGTGATAAAAAAAAAAAAACTTCTAAGGCCTCCAAGACAATGAGCTGAGTGTTTGTCTTCCCATGTTTTTGCGGTGGTCTGCAGTTTGTCGGACCCCGTCTGCGGATTTTCGGCCGATTGAGTGTTGAATTGGCATTGGTGAGAGAGATCACTCTGATAGGCTGTTTAGTGTAACGAAGCAGTGTACAAGGAAAACAGAAGTGACATTTTTTCTGATTATGCCTCCTTATATTTTGCCTCCAAATCTTCTACAAGAGGAAGCGAGGACTGACAATGCCAGTGTCATTTGCAACTTATCAGACATATTTGAAGAAACAAATTTGTCTGTGGAGAGTGAGAACATTTTGAAACCGGTAGCTGATGCTGCTTAAGGTTTCTTGTTTGTATATCCGCAGTCGTAATTCCAGTTGATCGTTTTGAATGACGAATGTTGGGGGTAACGCATTACAAGCAACGCAAGTTGCGTAAAATCAGATTACTTTTTTCAAGTAACGAGTAAAGTAACATTACTTTTGAATTTACAACAAAATATGAGTACTTTTTTCAAACAAGTAATGCAAGTTACTTAGGCCCTGTCCACACGAACACGGGTATTTTCAAAACCTGCGGTTTGGCCATTCGTTCACACGCAAACGCAGTAGCCGGTCACATGATTTGTCACTGATTTTTTAGAAACTCCGGTTGCAGTGTTGTCGTGTAGACTGTGAAACCCATAGACAGTAAAAGAAATGGACACAGCGACCCCGTTGATTTCAACGAAGAAAATTGAAGCCCGTAAAAGCTGTACTGCGCAGGCTCAAACTGAGCCTGTCACCTGAGCAACCTGTATGTCTTCTAGTAGCTGTGCCGAGTGAAATCTGAATAATTCCCTTCCGAATCTCACAGAGACGGAGAGAGTGAGTATTAGCTGTCCATGAGCTAGCAGCAGGATTAACTTTGACTCTATGGGCTTCTCCCTCGACTTTATCGGATTTTATGTCTCCACGCCCACTAAATTGCGCGCGAGCTTCTCCTCCTGTCTATACGGTAATTTCTCTACTGTGCGAGGGAGAGTCGATTCGTTATGACGCAATCGCTAGCCTATTTTTACAAAAACTGCATCTACGGGGCCATAACGTAAGATACAAGGTAATGGAGCCTTTTATACATTGTCGTGTTTCTTTAGAAATAAATAATGGACAAATTGAGTCTTTGGACGCCTCAGATGTAAAGTTGTTCACTGTCAAAGTGACACCAAAATGAATGGGAGTCAATGGAATGCTAACAGCAGGTGAAGTTCTGCTACAATGGCGGCTTACGCGAGGCTTTAACTTCGGCGAGGCTTTAACTTCCGGCTGATGGATTACCCCCTTGGTGAAAACGGAGATTTTGGCTTGTGACGTAGGAACCAGAATCAGTAATAACCCTTTTCCAGGCTTCTGATTGGCCAACATGTCTTACGGTTAGGGTTATATCACCACCTGTTGGTTTGGCATGCTCTTGACAGCGCTATAGCGTGTTTTTGCGTTTTTAATGTGGACGCGAATATTTTTTTTAACGGAGGAAATACTCCCGTGTACGTGTGGACTAGGCCTTAGTTTTCCCATTTATTGACGTTGTGTGAACATACTTATCGTAGTTCTAGACTAAACGTGAGCATTTACTCATCTCACTTGAACAAAAACAGATTCAGTATTCCTGAAAATTAATCAAAACAGTGAAATGCTAACCTGCAGTAATTAAATATGTTAAATAGTACATATGTACTTTATGTATTTGACCTCACTTTATTAACCAATGACTTCTGGCCTGATATGATCAAATTTAATCATACTAATAATAAGCACTAATTTATATTCTGTGATAAATTCGCATATCATCTTCTAAGTTTCAGATTAAAAAAAAATACAGACAAGTTTGGAAGGACATGAGGGCGAGTAAATAAAGAAAATTTCCGTTTTGGGGTGAGCCATCCATCAATTCAACATATTAGGTTTGTTGCTAGGGTTATAGGCAAACAAACATGTCCAATGAGAAACAAAAGCCCCAACAAGAAAGTTTTGCACACATTTAAAAAATAAATAAAAAAATCCTCTCATATCAGAGTTTAATCCTAATGACATACTTGACCTAGTTTGTTTTGTATTAAAGGGTATCCAGAACACTATCTATACTATGAAGCAGTTTAAATAAGAACAAACCCGATTTCCTCCGCTCAGGATTAACGCCATTCGGGCTGTTGTTGTGATTCCCGACCAGATTATTGGTCTCCTCCCCCGTGGACCGACTGTCCTCCAGCGTCTCGCATCGACGGACCTTCCCGTTCTTGTGTTTTTTGTGTCCCCCGTGGCTGTGTCCGTGTCCGCCGCCTCCGGCGTGGCCGTGAAAGAGACAGAGCCCGAGCAGGTTGACCAGCAGCCCCGCAGCCCCCACCCCGATCACCACATCGGGTCTATCGATCTCATGGGGCTCCGTGAAGCGCTCGATGGCCTCCAGGATGATGGTGAAGCACAGCGCGGTGAGGAACACGGCGTTGACCAGCGCGCCCATCACCTCGGCCCGGATCCAGCCGAACGTGTTCTTGTTGGTGGACTGGGTCTGCTCAGCGAAGCGCACCGCTACCAGCGCCACGACCAGCGCGATCACGTCCGACAGCATGTGGAAGGAGTCCGACAGCATCGCTAGAGAGGACGTGATCCGGCTCACCACCACCTCCACGATGAAGAAGCCGAAGGTGAGCGACAGCATGCACAGCAGGCGGAGCCGGTTCGGCGCGCAGGCCATGATTCCACCGAGAGCAGAGCACAAAACAAAGCTTTAAACGAACACGGTCCTCTTTTGGTTTAATATCCCATAACTGAACTCGTTCCGACCGACAGACTGTAAGCGATGCGTTGTTCCGGGTGTAATGAACGCTGGGGATCGGGGTTCGGTCCGGTTATACTGCCCGTCTTCTGTTGCTCGTCTGCAGACGGCTGAAACTTTGCACCCGGACCGGCGAACTTTCCACACGGAACACACTCAGCGGCAGGCCACGCCCACACTCGCCTGCTATTGGCTGAGAGCATGGGGTCGAGGAAAATTTAAAGACACAGTTCACCCAAAAAAATAATAATCTGTTATTTACTCACCATCAAGTTGTTCCAAACCTGTACGAGTTTCTTTCTGCTGGTGAACACACACAAAAAAAAGATATTTTGAAGACCGTTGGTAATCAGACATTTGACGGTAGCCGTTGATGGTATGGTATTTTTTTTCCTACTATGGAAATCAATGGCTACCATCAACTGTTTGATTCCCAACATTCTTTAAAATATCTTATTTTGTGTTCAAAAGAAGAAACTCATGGTTGGAACAACATGGTGAGTAAATGAAAGAATTTTCATTTTTGGGTGAACTAAGTTATCCCTTAGTGCAGAAATACCCTACATTCCATCACTTTGACACCCAAAACAGAATTTTTCTAAATTTTGACGAATAAAAACAAAACTGCTAATATTTTTACTTCTTTATTCTAAAGAAACAGCCATTCCAAATAAAAACACCAGTTCCACATCTATAAAATGGTAAGAATACAACACATTATCATTTAATAAAAAAAATCCAGTGTTATGCCCATTAAATGAAGTGTTGTCCACTGTACTGTACAAATGCTGCAGTAAATAAATAAAATCAGAAATCTTATTTCCTAATGTACACAATTAAAAAATAAAAATAAAATATCCTCTTGACTTGATTGACCACACAAATGCACCACTTTCAGTAGTAAATTCTAGCGGATGCCCAGCATTTCTTTGGGCTTTGGTAGGTACATCTTTTCCTCTTCACCAAGAGCCTGGATGCGCATGTTTGCCCATTGGTGTCTCTTTACAAGACAATGTTCATTAGATTTAGTGATCAGCTTGCTCTCAGGTCTGCCGTTCTCCTTGCCGTCTCCTGCAAAGTGAACCCTCTTCTTTCCCGGAGAGACGTTCTCTTCATTCTCTGTTAAAAACAACAAAAAAATAAAAATTATATATATATATATATATATATATATATATATATATATATATATATATATATATATATATATATATATACACACACACACACGCATGCATGCATACATACACACACATGCAATAAAATAAAAAACACAACAAATGCAACAGAAAGCATTGAAATAAGAAAAAACATGTTTACTTGACTATAAAGCATTAAATGATTTTACACAAAATGGTTTTCTACCTGTGTCACTGGCACTGAGTAGAGACAACGCCCTCTGCTGGCGGATCAAATTATAGGCCTTCAACAAGCTCTCTGCTCTGTTAGAGACGAATTACAATGACATATATTAGCAAAACACAGCATACGTGAACAAGTGGTCAATTGTTATAGCTAGTTATGCAGCCCACTACTAATGTTAGCTGCTAATATTTAATGCAGTCACATGACCAGTACAGCAAAGGCGGCGATATATTTACCTGGCCATCTTTTCATTTGATTGTTGTTCTCGAACACACAGCTCCTGTTCCCTTTCTGCAAAAAAAAGTGAAAGCTCAGACACCGAAAGCTCACTGAATGAAATGTCTTGCCCTGCCCGGTAGTGTTATATAAAGAGTTAGTTCACCTAAAGTGAAACTTCTGTCATCAGTTACTCACCCAAACCCACTAGACTTTTGTTCGGAATTTCCAAACACAAATTAAGATATTTTTACTTAAACCTGAAGGATTTCTGTCTCTCCATTGAAAGTCCATGCAACCAAACCTACAGCTGCTTTTCCACCGTCGGGCCGAATGGTTCTAAGAACATTAAGGACCGGTTCCAGTTATGTTTCCACTTGAGCCTGGTATGGCACGGCACGATTACAAACCGTTCTTGGTTTCTAGCCAATGTGTATTACCAATATTTTGTATAACATACCAAAGAGCTCAGTTATCAGTGCAAAATGAACCCATATCCTTACCGCATGGCCTGGATCGGCACAGAATGGAAACGGTTAAGCAAAGATAACGGTTTGGTCCAACGATGGAAAAGCAGCATTTGATGCTTCAATATTTCATAAAGATTGTTAAAGGAATCCACACGAATCCAGCGGTTTAATCCTAGTCTTCTGAATAGACACGATCCATTTATAACATGCGTCCAACTACAAGCTCCAACATGCCTCCTTCGAAAGTTTCTAGTAATCCTAACGACCTTGGCTGTGTTTACACTTGGCATTAACATGTGACCTGTATCCAGGACGTTGTCCACATACACATTGAGAAGACAAGAGTAAACAATGTACCATTTTGCCACAAATATCTTAATTTTTGTTTTTGAAGATTAACAAGTCTTATGGGTTTGGAACAGCATGAGAGTGAAGGACGACAATTTTTTTTTTTTTAAGGGAACTACCCCTTTAACAAAGTAACAAACTGTTTGGGTTTCTGTTGTCACATGGGAAACGCCCTACCAATTACCATAATTGAACTAGAAAGCCCATTTACACCTGACCAACTGTGATTGGATTACCTGAGAAAGATGTTAGTTCCAGGTGTAAAGAGCCCAAAAGAAAGCCAGAGTGGACTCACGCTCTAGCCGCTGCTCTCGCTCTTCGATGGTCTGCTCTCGCTCGCGTAGGATCTGCTCCTTCAGCCGCAGCTCTGCCTGAAGCGACGGCTCTGGGTGTTTGGGCTGCTCTACGTCCACTGACCTGCGCCGCTGCTTCTCCTGAAGTCTCCTCTGCTCCTGGGCTACATAGCCTGAGATCAAGCCGTTCTGCAGAATGGACTCCACCGTGGGCCTCAGATAGTCCTAACAAAAGAGAACAGCTAAATCACAATGTCCCACACAGCATAGAGAGCAATATAAATGGAAAAATGTAGTCGATATTTTTAAATTCAAACAATAATACAAGGCCATCCACACAGAATGCGTTTTTGGGTATAGAAATGAGAGAGGCAGTTTATATAAAAAAATAAATAAAAAATAAAAAACAAGGTCAAGAGGCATGTTTTTATGTTTTGTCCGGCTGCATTGTTTCTGCTCCATACGTGAGTTTTGCTATGTTTCACAGAACCAAGACGTGCTGTTGAATCATAGCCAACTCACCCATACTTGTGCGAGCCGTGTGATGCATAGCATGTTTGTTATTTTTGGGGGCGGGGCAATGAAGGGAGTGGTGTGTTTTTATTGGGTGTCGAATTTCAAATATCAACATGTTTCTCAGAAATCACTAACTGCAGCTTTAAACGCATTGGAATTGTTTTCAGAACTGCTATTCAGTGTTCAATTCAAATCATACATTCCTTCATTATTATTACCCAGTCACCCAACTGACCAATAGTTGCAAAACAACTTCTTTCAGCCAATCACATTTCAGCAACTGTTCAGTCAGTTAACAATCCTTTGAATCCAAATTCACTTTGACTTTATCTGACAAGTTACACTGAGAAAAAAAATAAATAAAAACGACGCTCTTCAAGACAAAACTGAGTTTACCTTCAAGTTCAGCATTTTTGAAAGGAGCGTGTTCAGATCCTCGGAGTATCGGTAAGGGATTCTTCTAAACTTCCCTTCTCTGATTTTTCCGGCCAGCTCTGTTTGGTTGTATGCTGTAAATGGGGGACTTCAAAAAAAGAAAGAATGTGAGAAAAAGATTCCAAGATTCACAACTGCGTATAAACACACAATCAGCCTGAAGATAATAGAGTACAGTGGAACATGTATACTTACGATAAAGCACATAGTTCATAGAGTAAACATCCTAAAGACCATATGTCTGATTTTTCGTTATAGGACATGCGATTAATTTGTTCCTGTGAATGCAAGAGGAAAATATTAATAAAACAGGAACAGCCTTGACAAAGAAATATGATGATGAAACAGTGGAACAAATAATTACATGCCAAGACATGAACATTCACCAACAGAAACTTTAGGAGAACTTGTTTGTTAAAGTGGGGCTCAATCCAGGATTGGTTCCAAAAGCACAACATGCCATAGGTGTGCATATCAACACCGGCCAGTAAATATGCACTTAAAGGGATGGTTCATCCAAAAATGAAAACTCGCCTTTATGAATTAGTTTCTTCTCAGAACATGACAGATATGGGGAGTTATTTCCCCTCTATACCATGGAAATCAGTTACCAAAAATCTTCAACTTCTCTACTATGTTCCACAGAAGAGAGTCATACTCTGTAAAAACTGATCTTTCAAAGTTTAAAGGTGCCCTAGAATGTGAAATTGAATTTATTTTGGCATAGTTAAATAACAAGAGTTCAGTACATGGACATGACATACAGTGAGTCTCAAACACCATTGTTTTCTCCTTCTTACTTAAATCTCGTTTTTGAAAAACACCCCTGAAAAATAGGCGAATCTCCACATAACACCGACTGTGACGCAACAGTCGGGATCATTAATATGTATGACTCCAAGAATTTGCATATGCCAGCCCATGTTCAATGCCAGGCGGAATGGCGCAGCCGAAGCATAGCAGTTGCTCAGTGTGGATGTACACATGAACACAAAAGTATTTTTTAGTTCCTTCATCCGAGCCTCTGAAGAAACATGGGTTAATTTTATTTTCTCTGGAAATTTCCAAACATTTCACCGACGACTGTTTCCTCAACTCGGATCGAGCTACCAAGCAACACTTGAACTGATGTGTAATTGTTCAAGTTCAGACAGGTAATCTTTCTCTTAAAATCGTTCAATACTGTTTATGCATCAGTAAGTCAAGCCAGTGACTAAAATATCAGCTTCACATAGTTTCTTTTAGTAGGATGAAAAAAAACTTATTTAAATTGTGAATAAATTATATACAGAAAGGATCAAAGAACAATCTTTCCACAGCACGAGTTTATCTGGACACTTGCCAAACTCGTTATGAATTCAATGACGCACGTTACACTGCACAACGAAGCTCTTACTGTATTTACAGCATCGTGTTTGCTTTGGTGAAAGCATTAGAGAGAGTGCAGAAACTGCGTTGCAGTGTTAAAGACCCACTCCGATGAAAATAATGTTTTTCTAGGTGTTAACATGTTCTTGTGGCATTTTTCTGATGTTATTAGAGGACATATCTTGAGAAAAATCAGCTCAAACTTGTATTTCTGAGTATTTCTACATTCAAATGGCTGTGAATCAGTAGCGACGCTAAAATGCTGGCTAAAATAGACTGGAGTTGTGACGTAGTAACTCCACTGGGCGTCTCCACACGCGACGTCTTGGAGTGAAATAAATTGATCGGTGATCGGTGATAACTTTGATTAACTTCGGATAATAATAATTAACGTGTATATAATACTGTTGGCCCACCGGTATTGGGGGTGTAAGCTAGCGGGAGAGACAGAGCTCTCATTAACGGGCAGGGGAAGGGTCGTCTCCGTGCCAACGGCTCCGCCCACAACGCAGAGGCGAATTGCTAATGAGCTGCTGCCGCTCTGCTGAAGCGAAGTCCCAGAAAACGGCACAGGTTTTGTGATTTTGGCTAAAAATGGCATAATCATAATTTAAAGACCACTGGGAATGTTTAAAAATAGCTCAAAATATGATCGGAGTGGGACTTTAAGATCTTCAGTTTCGCGATCAACAGACTGTGATCTGCTTGCTCAATGCTCAGTCATCACGGCAACATTGTATGTGATGGGAATAGATCTAAATACTTTAAAAACATCTCACGATTCGTTAATCTCGATAGCTGTAATAGTAAAAACGTATAATAGCTGTAGTAGTAAAATTATTCGATTGAGTTCCACATGTAATACATAGCTATTTCATATGCAAGCATGTCAGCCAATCACAGCAGAGGCCGGTTACACACAGCAGACACGCCCCTTCAAACAGAGCGTTCAAATCAGAGGCTAAAATCAGGCTAGGAAAAATTCCTTTTTATTTCTAAATTATGACTATTTTTGATCTAAAAAACATACTAAAATTATAAGGGCAACCCAGGAAACATTGTAAAATAATTAAAAAAAACAAACATTCTAGGGCACCTTTAAATAAAGATTATTGGCATACTTTAAGTATCTGCCAAACCCCATTTTCCATCATAATCCCAGCAAATGATTTCAGTTGAACCATCTTGAACTGAATAAGCTACTTTTCAGCAGAATTTGAATTTCTCATATTTGATTTCCCCCGTTTATTATAAAGGTGACTTATATTTTCATTAACCTTTCTCTCTTACACATTTAAATACATATCAAATAAATGTACCACGGAAAAATCCAATATTCCTTGAGATTAAAGAACACTTACTGGCGACATGTAATATGGAGTTCCAACAAATGTTTTAGCAAAGCTTGTGTCGTGGTTCAGTATCCGAGCTAAACCAAAATCGCCAAGCTTAACATTCTGTTTGACGTCCAGGAAGATGTTTGCAGGTTTCAGGTCACGGTGCAGAACTGTACTGCTGCCGTTACTTCGACTATGGCACTCTTTTAACGCCAGGGACAACTGTGCCATCACACGCAGGATGAATTCTTCTTCCAGGTATCGTCTGTGAAGAAAGTGTCAAATAAAAAGAAAAAAGAAAAACATTGCTGTAACACAGCTTGATCAGCAAATTAACTTGATTTTACCTCTCTTTGATGCATCTGTTGATGAGGCTGGCGAGATCTCCACCCTCACAGTACTCCATCACTATATATAACGTTGTGTTCGTCCGGTCTATAATTCTGTCGTAGTATCGGACGATATTTGGGTGCTTCAGCTCACGGAGCAAATTGACCTCTGACACCAGCATCTGTTTCTCTGCCTCGGCCATGGTGCCATAGTCCAGCACCTTCCACACTAGAACCTAATGAGATTAGGTAACAAGGTCCAAAATTAACTAGCTGGAAGAGACATCCAAAATCGCATACTTCCCTACTTGTATTGTAGGAGAAAAACAGTGGGTGACAAAAGTAGCATGCCTAAATTCACAGTACTCATGAAAGAGTAAGCAAAAGTTCCCGGATGACCTGCTATTTCCGGTGAGATTTGGACAGTTTACTATCCCATGAGGCAATGCGAGAGGATTTGTGACGCAACTGACGCTGGTAGGTCACATGGTAATGATAACACAGCAAATGTAGTACGTCTGGATAACATTCATACTAGCAGTCACAAAGTAATTAATTATAACTTTTACTTATTACTTAAAATAAGTACAAAGGAGTACGCAGCCTAGGGGTGTGACAATATACCCACGTCACAATTCGGTTCGATACAATACAATACTCATGATAAAACAAAGCCAAAAAAAAAAAAGTAAAACACAAAGGGTTTTTCCCCCCATTATTAGTATTATTTCTAAGACATGTTGATAAGCAGCTTACAAAAAGTACAGTTCATTAAAATGCTAAATTTGGTATTACACCAAGATTGGGCTTGACATCAGAATAGAAATATATGATTCTGCTTAGCTTAAAATAAATTATTATGTTAAGAGACATAAGTTACTCTTGCACTATGTCCATTACAACATACATTTAAATAATAAACATACATTATTAAATAAATCTTATCAAAATTAAAAAATATATTTTTAATTTATTAATAATAATGAATAAACATGAGATTTCAAATGTATAACCTTCTGGGATTACAATATTAAATATGTATAAACTTTGGGTGAACTATATACAATAAATATTGTTGCATTTGTGCTGTCAAATCACATCTAACATAAAAGTTTGTAAATATAGATTATAAACACAATGTGATTTATATTTTTGCACTAATTGCGATATATTGTGACAATATATTGTTACACCCCAAACTTGACTAAAAATTATTAATTTAATTGCTGTGATATTTTTTAGCTAGTGCCTCAACAATAATAGCAAACAAATGATGTTACACTTCTAACTAATATAAGCTGATATTTAGTAATCTAAAATAAGGGCATTCATACATTAAGTGTTGCTTTAATAACCCAATCCTTTGAGAGGGCTAACGTTACTTTATTTTCTGATTTTGATTTAAGTTTCCTAAATTACGCACGTGTCTTAAAAACACACTACAAAAACACCAAACTGATCATGCGGTACAGTTCGATCTGTACTTTATTCACCTTTCCATCTGATTTCCTCTTGACTTTCTGACAATTCCCATAAGATCCACATCCTATGGTGAGCATCACCTCATAGTCTTCAGTTTTGGACGGCATCACAACACAACAGCCGCAGCAGGTCCAAACTTCAGGCAAACAGCACAGCTAGGTTATTTAGGTGCTAAATGTACTAACAAACAGAGCAGGATTCATTCAAACCGTTCACTTACCGTAATTCACTCACTGCTGGTGTCTTGTATAAATGTGCGTATGTTTTAGTTTTAGAAACGTTATCGTTTCTTGTTTGTGTTGAGAAACAAACAGACGAGAAACACGGAAGCTGATTTTCAAACGTGCGCACAAACTCTGGATTCTGATTGGCTGGACTTGATTACTGGCGGCGATCTCATTGGTCCGTATAAGGACACAGCTTGCACGTTGCCAAGTGCTGAAGAACCGCGAGAACGCCCGGGAACAGCGGGAGGATATTTCTTAAAGGTACAGGGCGGCTTATAACCAGGGTAGACTGAAGGCACTGAACAGAATTGATCATTTTTAAAACGCAACTGTGATGTATAAAAGCCCATTTACACCAAATAAGAGAGACAAAAATAATTATTTGGTTAATCTTAAACGACATAAAAGTCATAATTATGACGTACTAGTATTCTCACACAAGGATGCAATTTATGACATACTAAGTTATAATTATGAGATAGTCAAAATGATATATGAGTTATTATTTTGAGATGAAAAAAATGAAATTGACATTAAAAGTCTAAATTATGATAAAAAGTCGAAATTATGACTCTCTGTAAATTATGACTTTGTATGACATAATTCCCACATAGCTAAATTTGTCTGGCCCACCTCTGGGCCTCATTCTTGCTTCAATTCTGGCCCAGTTCTGGCTGGGTCCTCGGCCCAACACACTGAAAACGGACTCAAACAACATCCTCTGGCCCAGATGTGGCCCACACCCTGTCAAATTACTCTATTGATATGGCCCAGGCCCTGACAGATCTGGCAGGCTGAGAGTCGGCTGGGTCCCCGGGCCAGATGTGGCCCAGAAACTGGTAGACGGTGACAAATTATTTCTGAAAGACAGTGAAAGACAAAAACTTAAGGGTTTTTATTATAAAATTAACAAATACACTTTAATATAAACATGTATTAACAATGAACAAAATACACTATGTATTAACATTTATTAACAACACAACTTTTAAACCACAAAATAACAAGTAAATGATATGTCCTGTATATGATTAAAAGAAAAACATAATTCTCTTTCACACAAAATTAATTCCTTTTGCAAATGTCAAGTCACCATTAAATATATAGCGCTATATACAGTAATGACTGTTTCAAAGCAGCTTTACAGGGCTAAACAGGAAAATGATCAATGATGCAAACAGAGTTCATTTTGGCTGTAAAGCTGCTCTACAAACTAAATAGTGTCATTGTTCAGCTGAATTCAGTTCAGTGTTGATTCAGTTCTGTTCAACAACTGCATAAAGTATATCAATTATAAAAAGAGTTCATTTTCATTAATAAGCAGCTCTGGAGAAAACAGTGATGTCATCGCCCAGCTCAGTTCAGTTCTCATATAATGTCAATGCAGGCAGATCAATAATATTAAGGATAAGCGTCCCCAAGGAAGCCAGAGGCGACAGTGGCAAGAACCCAAACTCCATCAGAGACAGAATGAAGAAAGAAAACCAGGCTCAGTCGGGGGGCCAGTTCTCCTCTGGCCAAACAACGAACTGCTTCACACGTCAGACTGTGGATTGATATCACTCAGAGTATTTTATTCAGCTGCTTCTGCTTGAAGATTGGAAAAGATTACATCACGGTAAAAGAGTAGCAAAACTCGAGAGCATGTAAATGTGAATTTGAGAACTTGTACAATAAAATTTACACTCAAAGCTCCAATGTGAAAATCTCAATTAGGCATTTGCAACTTCTCAAATCTGCCATTGCAAAAAAAATGTTCTTTCTCACCGCCACTCAGTTTGCAAGTGCACAAGTTAGTTACGCATCTATATCGCAAAAAATAGTTGCAAAGTCAATGCGTGAACATTTGAAATAGCAATGGCAGGTGAGAAGTTGCAAATGCCTAATTGAGGTTGTACTGCGAATGGTCATTGTGTTTCTGTGAATGGCATTTTGAAAAATCTCAACATTCAACAGGTTTTCAAGTACAAATATTTATTGTACAAGTCCTCAAATTCACATCTACATGCTCTGGAGTTTTGCTCCTCTTTTACCTTCATAAGATCACGCCGGCGTCGGTGAGAGGGGAGTTGAAGCTGGCCGTTGGGTCTGTGTGGAGAACTGGTCTGGCTCTCGTGGATCCGATCCGATGACTGTGCCGAGGACTGTTGTGTCAACGAGGTCTTCACAGGCGTTTGTTTCTAGGTCTCGTCTGGTTGTGATGTTCTCGACTGGCATTCAGGCTGTTGTGGTCATCTTAGGGTGGAGGTCCACCATCTGGTCTGGATGCGGACTAGATCCGGCTGACTACAGTATAGCCTAACCTTGGGATAAGAATGAGACAGAGAGACTAACATTAGCGTTGATGTCATTCTTCTTACGATGTAACAAGTACATTCGGTGTAAGCTACCTTTAACGGATGTAAATTATAGAAATGTGAGAGTGTGTTATGTTTATGCAACGTTAACCCTCTGGGGTCCTTCGGCCCAAATGGACCCGAAGCATTTAAATACATTTTTTTTTTTAAATCATAGCTTTATCGGAATGGTCCGAAATTTGGTGACTTTGTTGGTACTTGGTAAATAAACACCCAAAAAAATTGGGGACAGGATTTGAATAGTCTAAGTGGTTGTAAAAAAAATAGTCACACTCAGGACCTTCGGGTCCAAATGGACCCGCATAGGAAATGAATGGGAAATTGGCAAAAATGTGAAAATACAGAGTTTTTTTGTGCGTACAATCTACAAATCAGCCACGATCCAGAAAAAAAGCACACAACAGTGAAGGGGTGAATCTATAAAACATCAAGAGTGCAAAACAGACACATCCACACACACACACAAACACACTTTTATACACATACACACTAATAAATTCAGATTACATATGGGTTTTGAATTTTTAAAATGCTCAGTTTGTCCACCAGATGGCATCCATCTCATTTCAAAAATTGCCTTCATGAGGCCCAGGCTTGACTCTAAAATGAAATACAGCTTTAAAATAAAAAAAAAAAAAAAATCTATTATATTCAATGGGGAAAAAATGGGTCATAATTATTGCATTAATATTAATTATAAATCATTTTTATTTTTGAAATTATCTCAAAACATCAAAAAAGAAAAGAAAAAATATTATAAAAAAAAAGTAAAAAAAAAAAAAGATGATTTTTTTAAAAATAAATATTAATCCCACCCTTCCGGCCCATTTGGACCCGAAGGTCCTGAATGTGACTCTGAAATGAAGGACCCCAGAGGGTTAAAGAGGTGTGTTTTTAATATAGATTTAAACTTATCTTGTGTCTGGCCCTCGATCTGCTGTCAGTTCATCCCTCGATCTTCATTTCAGCAGCATTAGCCATGAGGGTTTCTCTGAACTGCATCTTTTAAATACACAGATAACAGATATTGTGAGGTCAATATTAAATCTTAAGCATTACTGTTTTAAGCACATAGGTTTGACAAATGTTTTTTTTTTTGCCAGAAGTTCACGCAGCAGTTTAAAATATCAGTAACATTTTACTATAAGGTCTCATTTGTTAAAATTAGGCTAGTTAACTAACATTAACTATGAACAATACATTTGTTACAGTATTCATTCATCTTTGTTAACATTAGTTAATAAAAATACAACTGTTCACTTTTGATTTTAATAATGTATTAATAAATGTCAAAATGAAAATGAACTAAGATTAATAAATGCTTAAGTATTGTGCATTCTTATGTTAACTAATAGTTTAACTTAAATGAAACCTTATTGTAGTGTTACCAAAATATCTGTAAAAAGTGTTGGTGTCAGATTCCAAACAGTGCGTTCAGATGAAACTTCAGTTTATGTTCGCTTATAATCACAGTAACGTTTACATCAGAGTAAAAATTTTAAGAACTGTCATTTTAATAACGTTATACAGAGATATACGCTTTAATTATTTTCTTTCACAAAGTGTACCTGCTCTAAAGCAGAATAAGGTACATTCAAGAACACAAGACGTCCCAAAGACAATGAATCAAAAAGCTGCACTTATTTGGCAGCTTCTCTAAGTAGCCTATCTAACGCTTTTCTGTTTCGGAGTTCCCCACAGCAGTGTTAAAACAAAATTTGTAGGGCCTACACTGGCTGTGTCCGAAATCTCCACTCAAACCACTACTCCCTAACCCCTATGTAGGGGGTAGGGAGTAGAGCACTATATAGTGAGCTCACCAGCATAATAGAAACACCACTTTCGGACACTACTCGATCGTCTCTCGGCGCCGTTGATTAAACGCGCCATCATCTGTCAGCTGTTGCCGAGCCAGCTCTGGGCAAAATAGATTTTTTTATTTTATAAATACATTACATTATATTGAGCTTATTTCTCCAAAATTGTAAAATTAAAAGTAATTTCTGGCCGTTTCTGTTATAATGCGTTACTCCACACATGATTATAACTTATAAACATAAATAAAATTAATATTTCATATATTTTCATTTTCGCGTCATACCGTTTTCTCTTGCCTGTCGACATTAGGGAAAAAAAACAGATCTACGTTATCAAATATCTTGCTCATAATACTCTTAATAAAACAGCTTTTAGACTCTGTGAAGATGCCACTCAAATTATCTTTTCTGTTTGTTTGTTCTCGTGATTCAGAAGATTTTGCGGATTAGCAAAAGAAACAGGATTTCTAGACACAGAAAACGACGTGCTGTTCTTGCTACGCTAGCGAGACGTCGTCAAATTGTAAGTTAAAGATGAAGATGATGCTGATAGGTCTTTTACGATCAGCGCAATGCATGATGGTATGTAGGGCTTGGGTTAGTGACCATCGGTTGTACACTACTTTTCAAAATGCATTCTGGGATACATTGAGTGGACTATATAGGGTATAATAATCATCACTATACATTCGGACAGCACTACAAAATGGCGAGCTCACTATATAGTCCACTACATAGTGAGTAGTGGGAGATTTCGGACACAGCCGTTGTCTCCGCGGTTGTAATGGAGAAACAGCGTTAGTGTAGTTCGATTCACAAATAAATGACTCTTTTGAAAGGTTAGTGAATCAAATCAGAAAGAGTCGCCTTAATAGAGAAATACGGCGCCGAGTCCAACTCCTATGATTCGAATTAATCACTCGTTGAAAAAGACGAATTGACCAAATTTTAGCAAACAAAATGGAATATAACTCAATATCATTTCATTAGCTAACATTACAATGCACTGGATACATCACAGGAGTTTTTCTAATAAAATACACAATCATCCTAAAAAGAGACCGTAGGGCGTAGGCCTATAGGCCTTTCCCATTGACACGCTCTCTGCGACCGCATGGGTATTCTGACGTTACAGACCCAATTATCATCGCAAACATCTAGATATTAAAACAAACTTGTTTCACCGCTTGTGAAAAACGAA